TGAATCATGGAACACTACATCAAAAACCAATGATGTAATATATGGTGATTAACATAACATAATAAAAATTTTTTTAAAAATTAAAATAAAAAATCAAGGAAATTTTTTTAAAAAGATATATATTTAAAAAAATATATATATATCCAATGAAAGGGCCTTGAAGCAATGACACTTAAGGTTATGAGCACCCCTAAAGCCCCGATCTTGGTTTCTAAATATCATTGCTCACTAAATGGAACCAGGGCTCCCTTGAAGAAATGACTGATTGATTCCAGGTGAGCCTGGGACATCTGATGCCAGAAAATTAGGAAGCACTCAAAAATTAATTGGAACTAGCTTGAAAAGACTCCCTCCATGCAAATTTGGAGTAATACGAGCAACAGAAAGAATAATGAGAAGAACAGATTATAAAATATTGAATTTAAAAAACAAATCCATGAATTATAATGATTCTAAAAGAAAGATGTGGGAGCAGAGAGAAGGGAAAGCTCTATTTACAGAATAATACCAACTAATAAGTGTAGGTGGAATGATAGAAAATCACTATTTTGCAACCACAGTTATCATAACTAAAGGAATTATGCAAAATAATGGGCTTAGATTCTTTAAAAATGTCAATGTCATGAAAGACTAAAAACAAAACACACACACACAAAAACAGGCTGGGGAACTGTTCTGGATTAAAAGAGACCAGAGAGACATTAGAGACACATAACAATTAAATGCAGTATGTAGTCCTTAATTTTATCCTGGATTAAAAAAATAGCTTTGGAACAACTGAGAAAATCTGAATGTGGATTATGTTTAAAATAATAGTATAATAGATAATAGTATCTCACATTTCTTGAATGATGATTGGATTATGGCTGATAGGAAAATGGCTCTCCCTTAGACAATACATGCTTAAGTAATTAGGATTGAAGGAAAAAAAAAAGAAATCCCATAATTTTATAATTCCCTCCCAAATGAAAAAAGAGAGAGAGAGAGAGTCTGTGTGTATGTGTTTGTAATCTCTGGGGTTCACTGTTCTATTCTGCTCAAACTTCTTGGGTTTGAAATTTTGCAAATAAAAGGGAAAAAGAAGAAAGTTTCTAAAGAATTTAAAGTATTGACTATCATGATCTGACTTGTATTCTAGGATGATTATTCTGAGAGGATTTATTTCAGAAAGGAGCAAAGCAGGAATAGGAGACCACAGGTCAATTCACCATTAAGCTGATAAAGCCTAAGTGTGAGGGCTCTTGTCTTATGGGTCCTTTCCAAAGCTTTGGGAGAAACCTGGGCAATAGATTCTTTCACATAGTCATATGCTTTTGTAAAATTTGCAAAATAAGATATTCTAACTACATTTGGTTAAGACCACTGTCTCCTTCCACTCCAACTCACTTGTATATCAGGCAGCTTGGGAATAATGACAGGCATCTTCGGGATCCTGCTAATGGGAATTTAAATTTAGGTTTAGTGAGATACTATTTGTGGTTTGCAGTCACTTCCTTGTACAGTTAAATGTCTGAGAACTGTCCTGGTACACAAATAGCCCTGAGGGATGCTTCTGCCACCCACTGAGCAGACTTGTTTGGTGTCCTGAAACAAAGATGCCCAGCTGAAAGAGGAGCACAACACAAACCATAGTGCCCAGCTCCAAATCATGTGAAGAGCGAACAAACACGCTGGGAAAAAAACTAACTCTAATTGTCTTCTCTATATAGAAAATATCAAAAGTGGTTATCATATGAAGAAGTAATCAAAGACTATGCAGCCAACAAATATAAGAAAACTTAAAGAAATGTCAAGCTGTTAAATAACGGAAATATTTTTAAATGTTTGTGGTATTTGACAGCTTTCTATTTTTTTAATTTTTTATTTAAATTCTATTAGCTAACATAGAGTACTTCATTAGTTTCAGATGTAGTGTTCAATGATTCATCAGTTGCATATAACACCCAGTACTCATCACATCACATGCCCTCCTAATGCCCATCACCCAATTACCCCATCGCCCCACCCACCTCCCCTCCAGGAACCCTCAGTGTGTTTCCTAGAGTTAAGAGTCTCTCATGGTTTTTCTCACTCTCTGATGACTTCCCATTCAGTTTTCCCTCCCTTCCCCTATGATGCTCTGCACTCTTTCTTATATTCCACATATAAGTGAAACCATATGATAATTGTCTTTCTCTGATTAACTTTTTCACTCAGTGTAATCCCCTCCAGTTTCAGCCACGTCAATGTAAATGGTAAGTATTCATTCTTTCTGATGGCCAAGTAATATTCCATTGTATACATATACCACATCTTCTTTATCCATTCATCTGTGGATGGACAACTCAGCTCTTTCCATAGTCTGGCTATTGTGGACATTGCTGCTATTAACATTGGGGTGCAGGTGCCCCTTTGGATCACTACATTTGTATCTTTAGGGTAAATACCTAATAGTGCAATTGCTGGGTCATAGGGTAGCTCTATTTTTAACTTTTTGAGGAACTTCTATACCGTTTTCCAAAGTAGCTGCCCCAGCTTGCATTCCCACCAACAGTCTAAGAGGGTTTCCCTTTCTCAGCATCCTCACCAACATTTGTTGTTTCCTGTCTTGTTAATTATAGCCATTCTGACCGGTGTGAGGTGGCATTTCGTGGTTTTATTTGATGGCTTGTTAGATTTGCAACTTGTCATGCTTCCTTTTCTCATTCTAAATATTCATGTGGTGTGTGTGTGTTATCTATAATATTATCATTTTTTTCCTTACAAAGGACCTCTAGAACTGTATAAGTTTCAGGTCCTACAAGATCAGGAACTGCCCCTTTAGGCCAAAAAGAAGACAGATAAGTAAATGACTGGGATCTGAAATCCAATGAAGACAAAGAGAAAGCAATGAATTTGAGGTTTATTTGAAATGTGAAAACAAAAGAGCTTCCTAGTCCACTGGATTTGGGGGATGGGAGGAAAGTTGGGTTGGATGGTTCTAGTTTGGGTGAATGGATAGTTTTGGCATCATTCACCAAGACCGGGAATTCAGCAGAAAGAGGAAGATTCTGTGGTGATACAGATTGGAAGAGAAACTAGAGCGGGAGAAAGAGACTGGGTATTCATCAGTGTCTATACATGGGAAGGGAGAGCAACAGATTAACAGCTTCAAGGTTAGAGCAAATAGCAAGAAGAGGTGAAGCCAAAGGATGGAACCCTCGCAACAACTAAGGATGTGTTGGTTCAATATGCGTAGGTGTGGGGGGGTCTTGACCAGTAAGAAGACAGAGAATTGAAACAACCAAGAAAGAAAGAGTAGCTTTTTTAAATGGAGGGAGAGATGTGTTTGAATAATCTCAAAGGGTGAATTGTTATTAAAATATAAATTAAAGTGTAAATTAAATGGAAATGGAAATCAAATTTGGCAATAAGCATTTAACTGGTAACCCTGAGTGAGAACAAACCCAATGTAATTGTGAAAGTCAAAGTCAGACTGTAGTGGACTAAAGAATAAATGGGAAGTCAGGAAGTGGACTCAGGAAGTGTGGGTGACTCTTTCAAGAATCGAGGCCAGCAATAAAAAGAAACATAGGGAAGTAGAGGGGATGTGGGGTCAAGGAAGGGTCAGGCCTGCTTTATTTGTGTCTTCTAATGCTAAACCATATACCTATCCTATGACTATGACCCAAAATCCTACTTCTAGGAAGCAACCTAAACATCATGAAAAGGAGAATGAATAAATACGTTACAGCACATTCACACACCTGAAAAATACACAGCAAAATAGCAAATTATAGATAAGAGCAACATGGATGAATATCAGCATTTTGCTAATTGAAATTAGACACAAGATACTACATACAATATAATTCCATGAATATGAAGTTCTAGAATAGGTAAAACTAATCTATACTGTTAGAAGTCAGAAGAATGGTCATCCCTGGGGAGGGGGCTAGTAACTGGGAAGAAGCATGAGAGCCTTCCAAAGTGAAGCAAATGTTCTCTATCTTGACCTGTGAGATGCTGCATGGATGTATATATATGTAAAAACGCATTAAGCTGCACCATGGTACCGAGTGAACTTTATGTCCCTTACTTCGCTATACCTTAATGAAAAGGAAAAAAAAAAAAAGATAGTAGGAAGGGAAAAGTGAAGGGGGGGAAATCTGAGGGAGAGACAAACCATGAGAGACTATGGACTCTGAGAAACAAACTGAGGGTTCTAGAGGGGAGGGGGGTGGGGGATGGGTTGGCCTGGTGATGGGTATTAAAGAGGGCACGTACCGAATGGAGCACTGCGTGTTATACGCAAACAATGAATCGTGGAACACTACCTCAAAAACTAATGATGTAATGTATGGTGACTAACATAACATAATAAAATAAAATTTTTTTAAAAAAGGAAAAAATAAACTAATAAAATTTTAAAGACAGCTTCACTGAGGAAATACCACTAAAAAGAACTATCAGAATACCACAAAACCAAAGCGAATTCTGAGTTGGCCCTAGGATATCTGACAATGACATGCCCAGCAGCAGCTGCTGGAACGGACTGAACCAACGGAATCCATCATCTGTGGAGTAAATGATCCTCTCTCTCAGGCGGTACCATCAGCGTCTCCAGCTCACTCGTTCCCAGCTACCTAAAAATCCTGCTCCTAAGGCCAATCCTTCTGCAGACAATCTATCCTTCCCACTGGACGGACCTTTAGAATGTCAAAAAGGATCTCCCAGAGCTCAGCGCCAGCCTCATACTTCTCCTGTATCAAAAGAATACAATCACCAACTTCCTTCACTTCTGCGGAAGAGCAATTTAGAAGATAGATTTGTACGCATCAGAATCCCAGCAGTCGTCTGTGACACTTTCTTTTGATGTCTAACTATCATATCCAGTGATGAAGAGATAAGAGCTGGCATTTGAACAGTCATTTTTTTTCCAAAAAAAAAAGCCCAGAACCATATGAATTATTAATAAACTGAACACTATTTAAAATTAACATGGTACCTGCACTCTTATCATAAGAAGAAAAATTAAATACTTACCATTTTGTCTGGTACCAACAGCAGCAATGATTACTGGAACTGAATTTAATGCCCTTTTTATCACCGGAATATAATTATCCTTTACTTCGTGGAATGAGAACTTGTCATTTACGTTGTATTTGATGACAATGATGTCGGCGCTCCCGATTAGGTTTCTAGAGGTATACCAATCACTGTCAAAAATGTCCTAAACCAAAATGCAAAGAGCACTCCTTAGTCTACTTGTCTTCAAATCAGTCATGAAATAAAATGGGACACATACCGTTTTTTGCTATAGTTTAATTTTTGGAATTCATAAAAAGAATTTATTTTCAAATAAGTAACTACCTAAAATTAAAAATGTTTGAAGCCTACCAACTCTTCTATTTTTATGTATTCATTTAGCCTAGACAGCAGTGTAGTTGTTGTACTGTAAAGCAGATCTAGAGAATTACTGAGAGTCTGATGAAATAAGCAAGCCCTTTCAGTATTTGTACTTAAAAATAAGCACTTTGTTTTAAAATTATGCCATACTTTTATCACCTAAAAACTTTGCAAATGTTAGCACTACGCATTAGATGCCAGAGCATCAGTATGAGTAAGGAAGCTTCAAAGGATTTTCTGTGACCCAATTAGACACTGCAGGATTGCTCACTGTTTTAACCAACTGAGCCACCAGGCGCCCTGCTGTTTTAAACTGCAATACACTGTGAACTCTGTGGAGTTCCATATATTGTATACATATTTTAAAAATCTATATATACTTTCCAACTTTATCCATCCTTTGGACAGTACTGTACGTGTATAATGTACATGTATGTGTAGGGACGTATGTTTCATAAAAAGATACTGTGTATTATAAGGTGTCAGTGTGGTAAGGAACAGATTTTCAATTCATGTATTTAGCTTATATAAGTTAAAAATTCAGGAGAAACTTTTCAATTTTGAAATTTTCACTTCTGGACTATAGTTAATAATATTTATAATTAGAATCAGGGCCAAAAGTAATTTATTATGAAGCCTACTCCTTAACAGCTTAGGTATTTTAAAAGTATTTTTTCAAAGTTTTTATGTGAATAGTAGCATAAGAAAAATACATATCTTAATACCACTGCTAAATATGCATTAGTAGGTTTCTTCTCATATTCTAGTTAACTATTAATCATTATTTGTCCTTTCATGCGGCCTTTGGCATATATCTCCAGAATATATTAAAGCTAGATTAAGAAAACAGTTAGATGTGGTTAACAGGTCCAAAAACTGTTGGGCTATGAAAGTTTGCACTTTGAAATATGAGTCCAAAACAGGGTAATAATGCTGGAATCAGTCAATCAAGATCCATGTGACAGAGCTTCTACCGTATGATGGAAAATTCTAGAGAAGTGTTACACAGCAATGCCCTTTTGCAAAGAGAGCTGCTTCTCACCAGTACCTCCACGGTGTCCAGCAAAGCCTCTCCCAATTCCCTATATCCAGCCCAACCCACCCACTTCCTACAAGTACACCCAGAGTAACAAGAACTGCAGAATTTTTAGATATAAATACCCTACTGAAAACAGGAGCATTTAAAAAGGAAGATTAAAAGGACCAAAAAAGAAAAATAGGCAAACTATGGCAATATAAACATCAAAGGCAAAGTCCTGAACTTGAACCAAGAGGGGGGAGAAGTGAAGTGGGACACAGATCAAGAAAATGTGAAAGCTTCCCAGCAGAGCTCTACGCTAATTTCCAAATCCCAAACCACAAACCCATTCAGTTCCAATTGTATCTGTTATAGTATCCAAGCTCGAAGTATGCAAGCATAACAAGGGTACACAAGTATAACAAAGAACAAAGTCAGATGAATGGAATAAAAAACAACAACAACAAAAACTAAACATAGGTGGGACCAACATTAAACAGCCATTTAACTGAGAGAACAAATCAAAAGTAACTGCTCTTTGCATTCCTAACAGTTTAAAATTCCAGAGTTACTGGAGAGGTGTACTGGGAGAAAAGGAGACTTTTAGAGGAAAATGTCATGAGAAAATGGGTTTTGGCATCAGTATCACTGTTGTATCGAGGATATAAAAACTACAAATAATTTTATTTTTAACACAAATCAGAATTTCAAACCCTGCACAAGAAAATTGTACATGTATTACCTCACTGCTTTTTGTGGAATATTTCTGGTAAACAGGAAAAGATCTAGAAATAAAATAACATAACTGCACAAAAAAAGGAGGGTGGGTCTGAGAGAGACATACCAAATAATGAACTACGTAAAATGAATTTGAAGCACATTTATATTGAAAGTGCCAAGTATATACAGCAAGGATCCAGAGTGAGGCTACGAATCTACAGAAGAAACTAGAAAAGAGAAGCACAAACTATCTCATTCCGATTCCAAGGAAACAACACCACATTTCTAATCAAGCTATGTCAAAGAGAAAATGCTCCCCTGGTTTCTAGAAATACGAAGGAAATCAAATTCTCCCTCCCCTTGTAAATCAGTTCCAGGATTTCCTCTAGGAGGTTATGCAACACAAGAGTTGGAGCCACACTGGGAGAATGGAACTCATCTTTTTAAAAATAATCCAGAACTTTACAGCAAAACAACTTTATTCTACTTGACGGCGGGGCTGCAAATACAGCACCTACTAAGTACCAGCACTGCTGCCTCAATGTACTGTATTTGTGCAAGTCTTGAATGATGTGTAGGAAAACTTTACTTTTGCTTAGTATAAGTGATACATGGCTATACTAACATTGCAATAGACCCTGTATTACTATAGCAGCTACCACCTCGAGTACCTACTACATGTCAGCTTCGATCCTAAGAACTTTACATGTATTATCTCATTTACTCTTCCGCACAGCCCCAGGAGGGCAGGGAGTCTTTAGGAGGCAGGCAGTCTTCTTATTTTATACATAGGGAAAAATAGGGCTAAGAGAAGATAGTTGACTCGCCAAGGAAAACCACTAAACAGCAATGTGGGGATCTGAAATCAGGTCCTTTTGCTATCAAAAGCTGTGCTCTATCTGCTTTGCTATACTGAATATTCTGTTCCAGTACATGTCAAGTATCAGCTGATAAATACAATCAACTTGAATATCTCTGATGGACTTTTACTTACCACCAAGAAAAGAAAAGCACCTTATAAAGAGACGCTCTACAAATATATTCCCTTATGCTTGAAGATCATTATAACCCAAAAAAGTGTACCCATACTCAATGCCTTTAACAGGACCAGAGTCTAAACAAACAAAAGGTGGTTAGCACAATAAAGCACAACAGTCAGTATACAGCAAAAATCTAGACTACAGAGGCTTATTTTAACCCTTTTGGGAGATTTCATTTACTACAATACCTGGGAGTCGCGCACACGGCCCAACTTGCCAAGTTAACAACATAAACAGGAAAGAGTTAACAGCTCGAAGAAAAAACAGGAAAAGTAATCCTAACATCCTAATTCAGCTTATTTTATTTTCCCTACGTTTATTTACTCTATTCAATCAACATTTGTTCAACTGGGTGTAAAACCATTAAGTTTTTAAACTGTACGATCTTTCACAATGAAATGGCCAAAGTAAGTGTTTCATTTGCTTGCAGGGACTTCAGCCAGTGAGTTCCTTCTTATGACTGGCATCATCACTGTGATAAATGGGAGTTTAATATCATCCTGGTTATTGAAAAAACCTGTTTTTCATTTATTTTAGCCCATTAACATAAATATCCTTTAACTGAAAATTTATTTGAGCTAGTGATCTCTTCATCCCATAATTTGCATAAGTAATTTTTCTAGGTACATTCCATACATTCCTTTAGAAAGGTGTATTAATTCCCTATAGCGCATAATACAGTTTTTTTAAAATTGATCTTTAAACGTAAAATCTCACATAATGATAATTTGTATTCTTTTTCAGACACCAAGCTTTCTTCTGTTACAAAATATAATCTTTAGCTTTAGTTATCATATTATAACTCCAATACCAGTAAAGAATCAGAGATTTCCAAATAAGATTAGATGAAAACATTTAAATAATTACTGTTATTGCATATTACATTATTATATTATTGCATACTGAAAATATTTATGTGTCAGAGTAGATTCCTTTCTCCTTTTATTAAGCACTCAAGAACCAGACTAGAATTTTATCGACTTCATTACAATTTCTTTTAATTATTGCAAATTTTAAAGCTTTTTGAAAATTCCAAGCAGTATTATTTCTGATTTATGTGTCACTGAAAATAAACGGCTAATATATCAAGAGTATCTGCATTATTAAAATTAAAAACACTAATTAAAATTTTCAAAGGTGGATAGTGTTATAAATGAGTGGTTTAAAATTAATTCTCAAAAAAAAAAATAAAATAAAATAAAATAAAATTAATTCTCAGTCCCTGTCTTTTCGTCTCCTCTCCAGGGGTCCTATTCCTGAACTGTTCCAGTGAAATTTATTTTTGCTTGTGTTGAGCTTTCAGAGGACTTTATTTTTAGAACACTAATATTACACTATCACCCACAGGGTAGGCATGAAAAAACATTGCTCTCTGCTGGTGAAACTTAGTGACCCCGTCCCTTGGGGTTGTCACATTCAACTGCCAGCTACCAAGGGACAACCTACAGTCGTGAAGCGTGCGAGTAAGTGCTCCATGTTGCCACTGGGGCTTTTTGCCTTCTAAGAGGGTTCTCTGACCGGGCTGCCCCCTGCCTAATGAAACAAAGGAAAACAAAGATTTCCCCCCAAATGTTTAAAAACTCCACCCAGGTGACCCGGACGGTCCACATTCATGAAAGGGGAAAAAGGGAGAGGAGGGAAAAAAACAATGAAAGGAAAGCTCCGTTAGCCTCGGCACAGAGCAGCTGCCACCCCTTACCCAGACGGGACAGTCGTGGACCACCAGCTTGACATTTCCAAACGCGCTGGCCTGATACTCGGTGAACACCGGCCGTGCGACCGTGCTGGTCGCATTCAGCAACAAGCTGCTTTCGTCCCCCGAGACCAGCGGGCTTCTCCCCAGGTAAGTGCGGATAAGCCCCGACGGCCGATTGTCCTGGTGAAACGCGTCCCCCTCGTTCCCCAGCGCCACGATGTGAATGGACCTACACGACAGAGAGGGGGCCAGGGGGAGAAGAGGCGCGTGGTCAGCGCGAGGATCACTTTAATCCGAACAGGAAGGGCGGGGGGCAGCGCGCGGCGAGGATGAGCAAGAGCCCCTCGCGCTGGGGCGCACGACACGCGCCGGGGTAGAGACAATGGCAGGACCGCGACGTGTACGTACATGATCTCAAATCCAAGGGCAGGGCGGCGACTCGGAGAAAAGCGGCTCCTCGCGGCCTCTCGGGGCCAGGCGGCGGCGTATTTACCCGCAATCAGCTCATCCCCGGCCGCGTCCCCCTCGCGCGCCTCCACCGCGGCGCGGCCAACGCAGAGCGGGCCCGCGTGAGCGAGCGAGCGAGCGAGCGACAAGGGGGCCGGGGACGTGCGAGTCGGGCCGTGTGCGCGCTGCCAACCAGTCAGGAAGTGCCCGGGAACATCCCGAGCGGCCCGCCGCTCCCCGCCTCCCCGGCCGCCGCCGCCGCCGCCAAGAGTGGCCAGGCGCCCGGGCGCTGCAGCCCCCTCTCTGCCGCGCTCCCTGGGCAGGGCAGCTGTCGCCTCCTGCTGCTGCTGCTCCTCCTTCTGGCCGAGAGTGGCTTAGGAGAAAAGCCGGGGCCTCCGCCCCCTTGGCTGGCCTGGCGGGCGGGCGCAGCACGTGCTGGCCTTGGGGGTCGAGCGGACGCCGGGGGCGCGCTCCCCGCTGGGGCCCCCGGGCCTGGCGGCGGCGGCCAAATACAAAGGAACAGTCGCACAGGGCCTCGCGGAATATAAATTAATAAATGCAGCGCCCAAGCCTGAGAGCTCCTGATCGCCAATCCGCCTACAGCAAGTTTGTTCAACTCGAAAGGCTGTAACCAGAGCCAGGGAAAGGGGGGTGGGGCGGTGAGGCCCCCGCTCCCTAAAGACTGGGGAAAAAGGAGGTTAGGGAAGCTAGGCATTCAGGCCCGTGGGCCGCTCCGGCAGCCCAATTTTTTTCCCCCCTTGGCCTTGACGGAAAGTGTTTTACCACGTCTGCCGCTTTGTCATTTGTCAACATGCACTACAGCTGTTTTCTAAAATCATACTTGTGAGAAAAAAAAATAAAGGCAGCATTCATGCTGGTGCAGAAAGGGTTCTTTGTTCACACACCAATTAATTTGCTAATATCGCTTTTGAGGGATTATTTACTATTTCAAGCTATATTTGGCATATTTTACCAAAAACTGCAGGGTTTTTTTTTAAGTGCTGGGGTTCTTACTGTCATAGTTGTAAAAAGAAGTTGCGTGTGAGGTGTTTAACGTGTTTACAAGCTAGATGCTAGTTTACTTGGAGATTTTCAGTACACATAATGGCTACATATTTAATAATAGCTCCTTAGACCAACTGAAATAATCACGATCATGCTAATGCAAGGATACTTCAGATTCTTTCATGAAAACGCACTGAAGTAAAGGTGATGAAGGTCTCTAAAGGGCCTCAGACTACCTTAATGCAAATGAACACTGGAATCCACTAACACCAAGAAGGGCCAGAGGTTACTGTGGGACTCAGCTTCTCCATAAACATAAAAATTCTCACAAGTCCTCTGTGTTGAAAGCGTTCTTATTTATCCCTTTCCTTATTTATTTTGCCCTACTTTAAAATTTCTTTTCTCAAAAGAGCTATTTTGAGGGCATGAGGTACTGAAGAGGTACTGAGGTACTGAGTAGGGCAGTGAGAAGACTAGGGTAAGAGGCCTTTGGAATGTGAACAGCTTTTTATTATGGGCCCTTGCTGCTCAGTTGGAAGCAGTATAATACAGTTTCTCATGCTCATAGGGTGTGACAAGAGGCATTCATTCTGTAGTCACTGATTTTTTTTTAAAAATCTAGTTTCCCTTGCACTAAGTATAATTTCTCTTTTAGTCTCTAGAACATAAGCCATCCTGAAATATTTAAGAGTTTAGGATCACCTTTTCTCTTGGGTCAATAGAAAATATATTTTCTTGTCAGTGCCCTCTAGTAACCACAGGTCAAAAACAAAGACACTAACAATTAATGGATAAAGAAAATGTGGTATGTACCTACAATGAAACATTTGGACTTGAAAAGGAAGGAAATCTGTCATCTGTTACAACATGAATGAATCTTGGGGCATTATGCTAAGTGAAATAAATCAGTCACGAAAAGACAAATACTGCATTATTCCACTTACATCAGGTATTTAAGCTAGTCAAACTCTTAGAAAGAATGGTGGTTACCAGGGACTGGGGGTAGGAAGAAATGGAGAGTTGTTCAATGGGTAGAGTTTCAGTTTTGCAAGATAAAGTTGTTCTAGAAATCTATTGAAACAAGATCCATATAGTTAACACTACTGTAATGTACACTTAAAAATGGTGAAGATGGTACATTTTATATGTTTTTGCCACAATATGAAAAAGGGGGATGGGAATTGGGAACTGGCAGGAAGAGAGACAGCATTCATTTTTTTCTTCTCTGTTATTGAGTAAGTGAGCCAGGCCTGTGCTCGACAGGCATGGGAGATACTAAGATATATAAGACTCAAGTGTTACCCTTGAGAAACTTAGTCTATAATTAATGGTCACTATATTGTAAATATTAATCACCCAATCCTTTGAAAACATACTGGTTCCTTAAATAATTATAATACAGGCTCTCACATTCAGTAACAGAGGTAGGTACAAAGTACAAGGATAAAAGTGAACATTAAGAAGAGATCTGTGCCTGTGTGTCATCAGAGAGAAGTTCATAGAGGAAGTGAACATTGTCTTGGGTCTTAAAGGATGAGGAGGAATTGTTAGATATGGAAGAAGAGGAGGGAGGAGGAAAGGGAAAGAGTTTTAGAAAGAATGGACAGACATCATATGCAAATCACATGTAAAGGTATAGAGACATGGAAGATCATGGCTTGTTCAGGGAAAGGCAAGAGCTGAAATTCGTGCTAGAGTGCAGATGCCTCCTTATTACAACAGGCAAAAAAGAGACTGACTTCCCAAGAGATTTCCGAAATCAGACCTGATGATACTCAATTATAGATTAGGAATTCCTCTGTATATATGATGGAGCTCAGCGAGATGCTCACCAAACCCACCTTCTCTTCCAGGACCCATAGCTAAACTACATTTCCCAAAGTTTTTACATGTAGATAGACCCATATGATTAGTTTTTAGCAGTAGAATATATTCCCTGCTGAGCAGTTAATAAAAGTATGCTTTCTCCACTCTCTTTTATCCCTCTTTCTCGTGATTGTATGAAGCCAGGTCAATGTTGAAGCCATGTGTTTGAAATTGTTGGTCTGCCGCATCAAGGAGGCCTGGGTCCCTGAAGGACTGGTTATAGCAGAGCTGCCTCACAGCGTGCATTGTACTGGGACATGAGTGAGGAAATGGACCCTTATTGAGTTAAGCCAGACATTTTGTGGTCAATTATTACAGTAGCTAGTGTTACTGATCTTGGCTATTCCACCTGTGATCTTGGACCACAGATCACAGATGGTCCATTTCCTGATATCTTAAAGATTCTTTTCAGAATTATCTTAAGACTACTTTTTTATAATTATTTTCCTTTTATTTACAATGTTTATTTGGTTTATATATTTGTGGTTTCCCTCAGTAGCATTTAATAAAAAATTTACTTTTACCAGGGTGTAACAAATTCAATTATCATTATGTCCTCCAATCTCAAGGTCACTGGGGAAAACAAAAGCAAGTTCCTCTAGCCCAAACAATAGTTTTCCTATTTTCACAGCTGAAATGCCACTATTTTATATTCATTCTAATAGATGTTCTCATCCCCAGATAAAATGTAGCCACATATGCGTATCAGATATGTATGAGGTAACTAACTCAATGAGTTATTACTGATCCCCAGATCATGATTAATATACCAGCCTTTTAAAAATATGCTGATTTCTTAATGACTAGAGAGGAAGCAAGTGTTACTAAGGGTAGATCTGAAGAATTAAGGTTGGCATAAGATTTTTCCAACTGTGTTTCAAGGAAACTAGTTTTCCACCTGAGGAGGTTGGGGAGAAAGATGGATGCCTAGAGAGATCTGAGCACCACCTTCTCCCATCTCAATCAGACCAGTGTTATTGTCATCTAATTTTTAAAAAATATATTAGTTTCAAGTTTATTTTCAGTAAAAAAGAGGGGATTTCTAACATTAAAAAAAAAAACCCACAAAATTTTAAAACACTTATCTAGAGCAAAGGTCTCCAAAGTGGGATACAGAATGTGACCCCTGAAATTTTAGAATAAAGTATTTGAATTTCTATGTAAAAACACATATATTTTTTACCAAAAAAGAGGGGAAGAAATTAAGCTTTACGCATATTGAATGTGAGGACTGGCACCAGCACCCCACTTGATCCATAAGTGGGCAAGCACCTGGGGTGCTCTGGGGAGGGAGGGAGCACAGCAGCACATAATAGAGGAAGGCAGGGCTCTCTCCTTTGTTCGCTTTCAACATATTGCCACATGGTGCAATTTCTATATCTAACTAAGTGGATTTATGTATGATATTTAAGTAAACTAATTGTTACAGCATGGACCAATGGAGATAGTGTTCATAATGCAAGAACAGGCAAACACAATTGGCTGAGCTGACATTTCTGATGCCCTTTGGAATCTACATTGCAAAGTAAAAAACTAATGACTAATCAGATCTGACAAGGTGGCCATAATCATTGAAACTAGAAAGAACATTGTTTTAAATATGAATTTACACCTACTTTTACTGACTTTACCCAAGTGTGTATCAGAGTTAATAGATGATCATATTCTGAACTGATTACAATTAGCTAACCATTTTAAACTAGGTATCCCAGCATGAAGGCAAAACTCCACGGTATCTCCAGCATATTTAGTAATGTACTATTTAAGCCAATACTTTAAATAAAATTCATATATTACAAATGCTAAAAAGCCTCTTTGAGCTTTCTTAACACTGAAAGTCAAAAAGCAGCATACGATTGGGAAAACAGTTTTCTTCTTGCCAAGATGAAAATGTCTAAAATTATACATGGAACACAAATGGAAAAAAACAACTGCATTCCTCTGACAGTGAATACCTTGAGAATATGCACATAAAACACTGCTAAAGACCCCAAGACACGAGTATTGGAACAAGTTACACAATGTGGGAAGTTTACCATAAAGTTAAACTGAAAGCACAGATGTTTTTAATATGTCTCACATTATGGTAGATAGATTCTGTTATGGTAGATTCTGTTTCAATGTGGTATTTACTAGACTGTGTTTCAATAATGAAATACATTTTAAAATGACATTTTTTTGTAAGCCACTAAAGGAAAGCTATAGTAGAGAAGATAATCTTTCTCTGCTACTTCTTTAAATGGTATTTTAAGTAATACCTGAATTTTTAAAAATAAAAACTATGTTTTATGCAAAACTTGTGTAAGTGTAATCACTGATTGGTTAGTTGTTTTAACAAAAACTTTTTATTAAAGAA